GGCAGTTAAACAACCGTTTTCAATGACAGCAAGGCGAAGACCTGGACGACAGTTAGACAACTGCCTTGTGTGTTTCCTTTGTGTGCCTAGGACCTCTCATATATGTGTGCTTGTATTTCTGTTTGATTCAACGATGTTTTGATGAGTTCAAGCATACAATCTACTACTACGTATTGACGAATGTAGATACACAACGAAGTGCTGCCAAAACTCTGCTCAACCAGAACACTCACTCTACAAGCTAAGCTTGGCATAACTACTCACTTGGTTCACAAGTGATGTTAAGTGTTGCCTAGTTTTTGTTTGTGGTACTGAGTTAATCGCTTCCGCATAGTACTTGAAGTTAACACGTGGTATCAAAGGTGGTCCTTAGTCATTCTCAACGTATCCATCAATGGGGTTGCCTGGAGAAGAAGGGAACTCACCCCCCGCAAGTAGCGGCAGCCAGGAATCTGGTGTCTCCGCGCCAAGGACAGCCCGGACGAACCAGGGCCCGCTACTAAGAGAAGTGCTGAAGAACTTCTCAGTCGACAAGTTCTGTGGAGAAGGTTATGACGACTGGTCCTGGAAGATGCAGCTGTACTTTTGGCAGATAGGCCTTATAAAGCTGTTAATAGGCACCGAGGAATGACCCAGTACCCCGGAGCTGCAGAACGAGTGGGACGAGCGCTCATCCACCGGGTACTACATCCTGTCCCAAAGTTTGGATCTCGCCCAACGCCAACACATCATGCACCTCCTCCCGGAAGAAAAGTGTGGACCCAAGGCATGGAGACTGCTCAAGGAACTGCACGCCCCCACATCATTTGTAGCTACCCTCATGTTGGAGAGGGAGCTCTCCAACCTTCGTCTCAGTGAAGAAGAACACGTCCAACCCGTCCTAGACAAGCTGAGAGACCTCTACGCCAAGCTCGCCATCGCTGGAATTGTCTACCCCGAACAAACCAAGTGTATGAAGATGTTGTCGCTGCTGCCGGAGTCATGAATGATATTCACAAGTGGCCTGAGTCTCCCTCAAAACCAGAGCTCCTGGACCTTGGAGTGGATCCGCAGGACGATTATCGAGGAGGACTTTCGGAGGCGCCAACTGAGGGGAGGAGAAGAGGGGAGCAGCAGCTACGCCATGCAAGGAGGAAAGAGGGGCAGAGGCAAGAAATGGCAAGGGGCTGGGAGACGAGCTTCTAAGGAGGAGGAGCCCTCCAACCAGCAAGGCGATAGAGGAGCAGGACGTGATGGAGGCCGAGGAGGCAGAGGGGGAGGAAGGGGACCCGGTAGAATGGAGGGCAAGTGCTGGTATTGTGAGAAAGTGGGTTATCCGTGGTTTAAATGCAGAACTAAACCCTGTTGGTGGACCCCCTCCAACAGGTCACAAGATGGGAGCGGCTGAACACAAAGAAAGGGAAGCCGGACAATTCTTCCACGTTGAAGAGCCGGGAGAGGACGCTGTGGCCGCACACGCTGGAGCTGCACTGCATCCGCTCAACACGTGGATCTTGGACACGGGGGCAGCATGGACCATGACTCCAAGGGCTGACCTCCTTGAAAAAGTGGGGACTGCACCGATTGCGGAGGTGAAGTCGGCATCCGGGCACGCTCGCAAGGTGACGGGGGCGGGACGTGCTCAATTCAAGGGAGCTGATGGCAAACCAGTGGTGCTAAGTGATGTGCTTCTAGTCTGTGATCTCAAAGCTAACCTTATCTTCCTCAAGAAGCTAGGAAAGTGCGGGGTCAACACCAACACCGATGGTGCCAAGACATACACGGGGCAGCTGGGACAGCGGGTGTTGTGGGACCTTCACGAGAGCCGTGACATCTGCAAGTCTATGTGGCAGCTGCCGGTTGTGCCATGGAGCAAGGAGGGAGAAACTCAGGGGGAGTGCAATGCTGTAGCTGCAAAGGAGCTGAAGGTTTCGGCAAAGGGTAGAGAAACTTACTGGATGACAGCTCACCGCCACCTCGGGCATATTGATATGCCCGCACTGCAGCAACTGCACAAGGAGGAAGGGGTTAAGGGACTAAAGCTGACAGGTGCAGCAACAACCCACAAGTGTGAAACTTGCTTGCTAAGCAAGTTTACTCGGTTCCCGTTCCATGCAACCGAGGGTGGCGGTAAGAAACTGTTGGAACTAGTGCACATGGATGTGGTGGGGCCGCTACCGGTTGTGGGGGAGCGTGGTGAGAAGTACTTTCTCACCATAGTGGATGATTGGAGCCGAGTTACCTGGGCATACCCCATCAAGAAGAAGGACCATGTGCCGTCCACCATACGCGATGAATGGCTGCCATTCGTGGAGAAACAGTCTGGGCAAAAGGTGAAGCGGATCAGGACTGATAGGGGTGGGGAGTTCCTTGGGGAGGAGTCGACTGCATGGCTGAAGAAGCAGGGCATCATTCGAGAACTCACCACCTCTTACACTCCACAGTCCAACAGCATAGCGGAACGGGCAAACCGCACGGTGTTAGAAACGGCACGGGCACTTCTCATCGAATCGGGGTTAGGGAACCCAAGGTGGCCACATGCTATGCGCCACGCCTCGGTGGTTAAGAACAGGGTGTTCACCAACGTCGGTGGTGAGTCATGGGTCCCCATGGAGAGGTGGCTTGGGAGGAAGCCGCCAATTGACATTTTGCGTGTGTTTGGCTGCATGGTTGTGGCTCACATCCCCAAGGCACATCGCAACAAGTTGGGTGCAACGGCTGTATGGTGTGTGCATTTGGGGCTAGCAGCTGAAAGCAAGGGGTGGCTGCTGTGGGAGCCGAGCAAGGGAGTCATGTTTGACAGTAGGGATGTCAAGTTTATGGAAGATATCACCTACGGGAGCTAGTCCAGGCAGCCAAAGGAGCAGATCGTGCAGCAATTGCAGCAGGCAACCATGGAGTTTGAGGTTGAGGAGGAGTGGGTTGGGGAGGAGACCGCAACGCCACATGAGGAGGAGGGTGCAGCAGAGCTTCCCGTGGTCAAGGGCGTGGAGCCAACGGGTGCACCTGAAGAACCTCACCCCATAACACGTGTGAAACCCCCCACCCTTCCCTCAAGAAGGACCCAAACCAAATCCCTTCCCACAGGCCGTTTTCTCTCACCCATTGTCGAGAGGCAGATGCGAGCAGCCGCGTTGAAGCTGAGGGATTACGGAGGAACAAGGGGAGAGCAACAACAACTTGATGCACTGCTGGTGCTGGAGAGCAGCCGTGATCCTGGTGGGGAAGGAGAGGAGGAGGTATACTGTTTCATGGCACTTGCACCAACGTAGCCACTGACCATGGATGAAGCCCTTAAGGGACCAGACCGGGACAAGTGGCTGGCATCAAGAGATGTTGAATATAACAGCCAAATGGAGAATGGGACATGGGAGATGGTGCCACTACCGGAGGGGAAGAAAGCCATAAGCTGTGGCTGGATTCCAAGGATTAAAACTGACAACAAAGGAGCCGTGTCAGTTTATAAGAGCAGGCTGGTGGCAAGGGGTTATCAACAGAAAGAAAGGGAGGACTTCAAGGAGACATTTGCTACAACTGCCAAGTCACCAACATTGTGTGTTCTCCTCGCCGGTGCAGCTATGTGTGGGTGGGTGATAGTGCAGATGGACATCACCACAGCCTTCCTCTATGGACTGATAGATGTGGAGGTGTTCATGTCACAGCCGCCAGGTTATGAGGATGGCACCGGGCGTGTGTGCAAGCTGAAGAAGGCCATCTATGGCCTCAAACAAGCACCACGCTGCTGGTACAAGAAGTTGTCTTTGTTTCTAGAGGAGATAGGGTTCAGGGCGAGTGCATGTGACGAGGACCTTTTCCTCATGGGGGAGAAGGAGAGCCTCGTCATGTTCCTGGTGTACGTGGATGACATCCTCTTGTTTAGGAGCAGCAAGCAGGAGGTAATGAAGGTGCAGCATAAGCTGATGCAAAACTTCAAATGCAAGACCCTGGGGGAGGCGAACTACTACCTAGGAATGCACATCGAGAGGGATGTCAGCAATGGATGGGTGAAATTGCACCAGGAGAAGTACATCAATGACATGGGGAGCAAGTATGAGATAGAGGTCGGAAGGAAGATCACCACACCTCTTCCATGTGGATTTAAACTTATCAAAGCTAGTGAGAACGAAGGAGTGGATCAGCAGGAGCAGGCTCGTTTTCAGTCCATGGTGGGGAGCTTGCTCTATGCAGCAGTACACACCAGGCCGGACATCTCCTTTGCTGTGGGGCAGCTGGCCAGGGTGGTGCAAAATCCCACCGAGGAGCAGGTGGACGCATCAGACCGTATCATCTAGTATCTGAACTCCTGCCCCACTGTTCAGTACTTCACAGGAGTCTTATATCTAGGGGGATTACAGTACATACATAGAACCCTAAACTCTGAAAATTCAGAGCTGCAAAAAAAAAACCAAAAAAAAAAGGAAATTCTGTGTCGTAAAATATATAACGTTGAAAGTTCAGGGCCGGTACACAAAACCAACTTAAAGTTCACGAAAATCATGGTAAAACGAAACACACACTCATGAATGCAACATCACCAAAATGAATGCGTCGAACAAACAGCAACTCTGAGCTCTCCACCATGGCTTCCTGACAGTTGCCTGATAGTGACATTGCGTGAAGCCTATTTATCATTTGGCTTTAATTTCCACATCATTGGATTCGTTACATCTTCATGTAGAAGACTACATAACTTTTGTGTTCAATAGGCGAACATTATATCGTTTTCTCAAAGGTGCAATGTGTTGTGTCAAGAAGCTAAGTCCAAGGATATCACGTGCCTCCCAAGGCTTCAAACTAACTCTAAGGAGCCACCTCCGCTGACTATTATTGGTCACCATAATTCTGTGCAACGGGATGATCCCGAAGTGTTATCCTCGGTTTCACAACATCCCTCCTAAGAGCATTGGTCTTCTACTGGTACCACCAGCATACTTAACAATGAAGTGCTCAGATATCCGGCTCATCAGTCTTATCAGCTCTTATCATTGGAGCTTCTGCCGGCTCACTGTTATCATCGCACCATGCCTCCAAAAGGCTCGCACATTAAGGCTCTGGTTGAGGCTGTTCCTGACGGTCCTCCTGGTGGACCAGATCCTGCAGGCAAAACAGCACCAAGCAAGCAATCAAACGGCGTTAACAACCTTCCATCGGAAGCTGAAGTGACGGCTGGTGGATCTGGTCTCTCGATTGAAGATAAGCTAAAAGCGCTCGCGACAGTTGCTGCAGACGATGATTTCATCGAGGATGATTCTGATGAAGAGCTCAAGATTGATATGGCTAAGAGCTCTTACCCGCATTTGCGCTTCACTGTAATCCTGATTTTCCTGGTCATTCCGTCTCCGGAAGTCGCTTTTGTTATCTTAACCATGAGAACACTGATGAAGCGTGTCTGGTCGAACATCCTTACTGATGATGTTCTCTCTTCGGTGAAGTTTCAGGAGCTGCTCCCTACTTTCGTCATGAAGACTCGCTACAGCCGTCTCCAGGTCTCTTTCATGCACAAGGCTGACGCTGTGAACATCAAGCAGACAATGGTGGACCACAAACTCTCGAATGGCTCGACGATCCACTGTTTCTGGCTTCACCAGGAGGATGCTATTTACGTCCGCAAGAAAGCTTCGAGCCCGCAGCTGTTGGAGGTCTACTTTAAGAACATTCATGGCGACATCCCGTCTGAGCTGGTTAAGGAGGTCATGGTAACTCACTCGCTCAAAGTCCGGAAGCAGTCCGCGTTTGCTGAAGGCCACTGCTTCCACCGCGTGCTTCACCCGGTCACCGGAGCTGATACGGACAAAATCAAAGGGTTGGTGGCCAAGCATACTAGCGACAAGCACCGTTGGCGTCATGAGTTCCGCCACCAGCTGCTTGGAGGGACGGACTTGTTGGCCCACTACCCTCTGCTATCCTGCTCGCTCTGTGGTGGTACCCATTATGACAATTATCATAATGCCTACATCACGGAGCGTCAGAATAACATAGGGAAGTGGAGTTTAACAGTGGGCCAGGTGCATAGGATTAATGCTAACTGTGACTTTGTGGCTGTTGTTGCTTTACGTCACCCTCATCAGTTGCTGAGATGTTGCTTGTCCCTCGTAGCTGCTTCCCTCCACGCTTCCCCGCTAGTCACCCCACTCCTCCTGGATGCGGCGTTTGTGCAGATCTCCACTGGGAGCAACAGGGAGGAATGGCTGTGCACACTGAATAGTTGCGGGAAAACGCACGGCAAGTCGTTCATGTCCGCTGCGGACCACATCACCTCGGCAAGTCACTTGCTGGGTCTGGAGAAGCTGGGTGCGACCACCCTCAGTTCCCTGGAGAAGCTGAACCTGCATCTCATTCGCAAGGACTACAAGATTTGAGACCTTCGCTCTCATACCTGAAGCAGAGTTGTGCAGTGGTTGCGATTGTTTGCTCTCGAGTAGCTGTAGTCAGTATCACCATCCCGTGGATGCTATGGGGCTTTTCAACAGTGGTTAAATAAGTACAAAAAGTCTTATATCATTTGCAAGCCTGAACGTCAACAGCCTGGGGGACAGAAACAAGCACCGGTGCACAAAATCTTGGATAAAACAAGCTGCCGATGTCATTGTACTTGCTGACGCCAGGCTCACAGACGACCACTCATACTGGAATTTTTTAAGACTACCCAACATCATTGTCGCCTCACCTACCACAAAGGCCGGAGGGGTGGCACTGATCTGTCACAGACATGGTCTCTCACTACACAACTCTCTCATCTACCCGTCTGGTAGACTCATTGCAGCAGAGATTCACCTAGACTCTTTCTACATCACCTTGATGGTCGTATACTTCCCAGTGGATGCAGCTGAAAGGAAGGCCTTTATCCGCATGACGCTGGGCCCAGTGATCGACTCAGTGCAGCCGGTTGCACACCTGCTCATTCTGGGGGACTTTAATCTGGTGGAATACTCGCCGCTGGGAGAATTCTGTCGCCAACATCTTTGGAGCGGTTGACGGCAGTCTGGACGGAGAAGGAGGTGAAGGATGCTTTTCACTCGATGGCAAAACATAAGGCCCCGAGGAGAGATGGGCTGCCGAAAGAGCTGTTCGAGGAACACTGGGACGTCTTGGGAAAGCATTTCATGAACTTGGTGGGGTGTTTCACGGAATCGCCGACGCTCCCTGCAAGCACAAAAGACGTTGTCACTATACTGTTGCACATGAAGGGAGGCCGCAACGCATCACGCTACTAAGCTTCACTTACAAGGTGTTGGCGCAGGTGGTCGCGGACAGGATGAAAGGGGTTTTTCACGAAGTGATCTCACCGGAGCAATACGGGTTCCTGCCGGACCAGAGGCTGTCTGATACAGTGGGGCTGGTCGCGGATGTGATTGAGGCTGCAAAAAAAAAAAAAAAAAAAATTGCGGACTGGTATCTCCTGCTGGTGGATTTCAAAAAGGCCTCGGTCTTGAGGAGCTATCTGTCCACGGTGGTGGAAAAGATGGGCTTCCCCAGCAGCTTGTCAGCTGGATCAGGGGCCTGCATGAAGACACGCAGACGAGGCTGTTAGTCAACAGCTGGATGGGGGAAGCAGTGGAGGTGGTGTCGGGGGTACGGCAGGGCTGTCCCCTTGCGCCTTACCTCTTTCTGTGCGCAGTGGAGCCTCCGGCGCAAGAGGCCGCAAACCAGAATCTGGGGCTCACTGATGGTGATCAGCGGCTAGCGTACCTGGGGTATGCCAATCATACGGCGCTTTTCCTGCAAGGGGAGGAACAAATCGCGGAGGCAGAGCAGCTATTAGATGACTTTGAAAGGGACTCGGGGCTGGCTACGAACAAAACAAAGTCGGCAGTCTTACCTCTGGGATGTAACCTGAACAAGCAGACCTGCAAGACGGACGGCTTCAAATGGGTGAAGGCGGACAAAGCGGAAAGATTGTTGGGAGTGTGGGTGTCACTGGCCGGCTGTTGTACGCCCACCTGGGAAAAGGCTTTCGCACGCATAAAAGAGAAGATGAGATAGTGGGAGGCGCAACATCTGACAACTAGCGCGAGAGCAGTGGTGATCAACTGCTACATCTCGCCAATTATTTTCTTCCAGGCGCATGTGTACCCTCCTCCGGTGGACATATGGGAAAGAATCCTGAAGCTGACACATAACTTTATGTCAGGAAACCGAGCTTCCATGGACAAGGGCTTCATTTTGTGGAGTAAAGAGTTGCTGTACATGGCAAGGGAGGACGGGGGTGTTCGAGGGAATGATCCGGAGATCCCCCTCACCTACCTCACAGAGAGACGCATCGGATCGCTCCTCACCAAGACGAATGAGCTGAAGCGGGACATGATACTCAAGGCCGCTGACCTGCCGCTGGGGCTGGACACCTTTGTCTCGCATGTCAAGCTCCTAAAGTGCTGGTGCAGGAAGAGTGAGAGATGGAAGTTGGCATGTGGGAACTTCATGCAATCACCGCTGGGTGACACATCGCCGACTTCATCGCGGGAGGAGGTAGAGAGGGAGAGAATCATCTTTGATCGCCATACTTTGCTGAATACAAAAACCCCAGTAGGAGGGCAGAAGGTGGCGGCGAAGGTATGGGAAGTCCGGCTGGGGGACCTGCTGTGCCCGGACGACGTGGGGGGCCGGCGCGCAAAAGACGTAAAATATGTGGTGAAGGAGCTTGGCGGTACCAAGCAAGCGAAGCTAGCACTACGGGCCTGGGAAGCTGTACCGCAGAACTGGAAGCTGCTTCTCCTGCATGCTGAGCAAAGGCAGGAGCCCCGTCTGCCCCTGAGGGTCCCTCTCTAGAGAACCCCGGTGCTCAGCGGTGGGCAGCTGACGATGGACAGGGAACTGAAGGTTAACTGGCAGCAGAGAAAGCATCAATCCGCCAAGAGGGAACTGTGGGTGGGCAGATGGGCCGGAGAAATAAATTGGAAGGAGGTGACTAAAATCCGCGACTCTCTGGTAACCTCGAACAGGCCGCGCGATGTGTTGTTGATAATTCACAGACTCAATTTGCAAGTGGGGGAAAGGCTCTCTTTCCTAAGCGGCAAACCGATCTGCCCACACCGCAGGGAGTTTGAAACTTTGGAGCACTGCCTTTTCACCTGCTCGCGCATTCAACGTGTGGTGGTGGCACTCAGGCGTGCCATGCGCATGCTTCACCGGGCGAGGCAAGTGGTGGACCTGGACGATTTACTGTTTGGCAAGGCAGCGTCCACCTCAACCTTTCCAGAAGCCTCGCTGGCTGCCATTGCGGTGCACCAGATCTGGGCAGAAAGATGCGAGTGTGTGAGAAGAAATTTCGGGCTCGGCACGTCCTCAGGCGTATCGAGGCAGCCTTTCGGCTGCATCTGGAGATGTACACCCGCGCAATGGGGAAAAGGATGGAGAGGGGTGGTGGTTCGAAACGACACGGGAAGGCATATGCGCTGGTGGAACAAGAGGACAGTTTGCTTGGACGTATCCGATGCATGGAAGAGAAGGGTTGGAAGTGGACCCGGAATTTTGGCGCTCTGTAGAATTTTGCGCGGGGGGCTCTGCATCTCCCTTAGACGCTGCCTCTGAGGTCGTTACCATTGTTCCGGCCTCTCATGCTCAGCGTATACGCTTGTATCACGAGTGTATAGTGAACATATTAAAATAAAAAATAAAAATACAAACAAACAAACAAACAAACAAACATTACCAAAACAAAACACAACTCATGAACCGATGAGAGGTGGTTCATAAACCGTAAACACATACATGTAAAGCACACAAATACACATCTCACGCAGTACAAATTACCTTCAAACAAAAACCTTCGTTTTCCTTCACCGTCGCGTCATTGAATAGGCAGTACCGGTAGGTTAACTTAGGTTAACAATACAAGCTTCCCGGCAGGGCCCAAAGTTGGTTCTGGCGCACCTTGACAAATCAGGGTTCATGGTGCCCGTACCTTGACCCCTAGGGTAATGTTTTTCGTACCCTGCTGGAAACAGCCTAACAACATCCATACACTGATTCAGTTAGGCTGTTTGCACTGTATTTTTTCTAACTCATATGTAACAGTCCACATTATTAAATAACCTCTAACCTTGCATCTACTCAGAGTCTGGCACACTAACAACCACTTCTTCAGCTACAAACTGAGCCTCGCTGGCCTTGCTCCCATCAAAGTCTCTGGTGGAGCGTCTGAGCTTCTCTCCGCGAAAAATGGCGACCACCTCGTACCAGCCGATGTCGTACTGCATCAGGGAACAGCGCATTAGGTGCTCCGGACTTGTATCGCCGATGCTGCCGCGTCCCCAGGTCTTTATCAAATTCTGCTTTCCAAATCCACTCTCGCATTCAACCGTGCTCAAAGGCGGCACGGCAACAGACTGCCACATACGCATTATATTGGGGAATGATTGTTGCCAAGCATCGTCCCGCAACATGTTCCCCAGCGCCTGATGAAACTCTTTGTTGTTGTGCTGGAAGAACGTCGTGGATGTGAACATCCACAATTCCTGACCCGCCCGCTGAAAGTTGAACCCTGTTATGGGGAGAGACGGGGTTGATACTTAGGCTATGCTCACAGACACAGATAGGAGTGGGGAGCATTAGTCCAACAAGAACACATGTTGTCGACATGCAGGGAAAAACTTAGTGGCACAGATAATGAGACATAACGCAAAGCAACTACCATATAAACTCATAAATGCAGATTCAGATGCAAACAACGCATCAACTCACCTGGGAGCTTGCTTTGGTAGAGCTTGTGCAACTGGCCTAGCCACTTCTTAAATGTCTCTACGCGCTTGCTCTCGTCTGGAACGTACGAAGCTGTACGAAACAGCTTTGAACCTTCCAGCAGGTTCAGGTCGCGCATCCGCCACTCCAACTCGGTGTCGACGGCACGGATGAACTTCAAAGACAGCTCGACGCACGCGGTCACGTCGTCGTCCGTGTCATGTCCAGGCAGTGGCCGCTCATGGAGGGTGAAGACGAAGGAGACGGGATTCCCGTCATTGTCAACCCCCTCCGCTCGCATCTCTCTCTTCTCCTTTGGCTGGTGGTTCACAATGAACGCCGACAGCTGCGTCTTCTCTACGCTGCCAAAATGGTGACCAGGTCACATGTCAATTGCTTTACGCCTACCATTAGCCATGCAATTGAGGCGTAGCCATTCAAATTTACCTGCCCACTGCGTGTCAAACGTACTCTTCACCGCTTCGTACTCAGATTCTGCAGTAGCGGCATCCGCAAAATTGTGTGGTCCCCATGTGAAGAAATGAGGAATGGTTAGGAGCCATAGCTAGGTAAGCCCTAGCTAGGCAAGAGAGAATGAGCAAAGGAGGCTATTCACTAGAAAGCAGTAGGATACATATAGGAAACCCTAAGGGATTGTACTCGCTATAGAGTACCCCACTGCAGGCTAGAGAACAATAACATTCTGACACCCCAATCTGTCCCGAAACCATTCTGTCCCAGAACCGACACAAATCTGTCCCGAAACTATCTTGAAATACACTTTCGGGACATTTTCGTCTACAAGCGCTTTTGCGCTACAATTTAACATGTCCCGAAAATGATTTGTGCTGGAATCTGTCCCGGAAGGTTTTTATTGCAACGCGATCAGACTCAGGTTCGATGCTCGTCGATGTCAGTTCCATACCGTTGAGCGTAGATTTTGTTTATGTTTTTCGTTCTTGTGGTACCCTTCTGGAACAATTTCATTACGAAATATAATGTCAGAGTATTATAGCTGATGCATGTTTGTAGGCTATAGTGGGGTAGCACATATGGGGTACAGGGTTTCTAGGGTTGTATTTGTACCCAACCTTTCCTTAGTCATTCTCATTCCTGTTTATTCTTTTCACATGGTATAGAGCGGGTCCCTCCTAAGGACCGTTTTTTTTTAAGGGCCCACCCACGACTTTTTTTCCTGCCCGGAGCGCGCCCTATTCTCCCCGAGGCGCGCTCCCCCCTAGCGCTTGTCGCGCTGCCCTTGTGGTGCCCCGAGAGTCGCGCGCGCGACTCCTTTTTTTTCGCGCGCGCGGCCCGGGCCCCACGTAGCGCTGGCCTTACGGCCGCGCCGCGCCGCCCTCTCGGCTCTGCCGCGCCGCGCCGCCCTCACGCCGGCCGCGCGGCCTCTTCGTCGCTGCAGCGGGCCCCGTCACCTGACGGCCCCGCCGTCCTACTCCCGGCCCCGCCGCTGCACCCTGCCGGCCCCGCCGCTGCACCTCTTTCGGCCCCGCCGCTGCACCCTAAAGGCCCCGCCGTCCCCTGTCACGGCCCTGCCGTCCCCTGTCACGGCCCCGCCGCTGCACCCTGACGGCCCCGCCACTGCACCAGTCGGCCCCGCCGCTGCACCCTGACGGCCCCGCCGTCCCCTGTCCCGGCCCCGCCGCTGCACCCTGCCGGCCCCGCCGCTGCACCCTGACGGCCCCGCCGCTGCACCCTGACGGCCCAGCCGTCCCCTGTCCCGGCCCCGCCGCTGCACCCTGCCGGCCCCGCCGCTGCACCCTGACGGCCCCGCCGTCCCCTGTCACGGCCCCGCCGCTGCACCTTGCCGGCCCCGCCGCTACACCCTGACGGCCCCGCCGTCCCCTGTCCCGGCCCCGTTCTGCACCCGAGCCGCCCTGCCGCCGAGCCGCCCGGGAGCCGAGCCGCCCTGCACCCGAGCCGCTCTGCCGCCGAGCAGCCCGGGAGCCGAGCCGCCCTACACCCGAGCCGCCCTGCCGCCGAGCAGCCCGGGAGCCGAGCCGCCCTGCACCCGAGCCGCCCTGCCGCCGAGCCGCCCGGGCGCCGAGCCGCCCTGCCCCCGAGCCGCCCTGCCGCCGAGCCGCTCGGGAGCCGAGCCGCCCAGCAGCTGAGTCGCTGAGTCGCCGAGCAGCCCTTCTGTAGAGTTTCCCGGCCTGCCCTGCCTGGTGAGCACAGTCGCACTGTCACTGCGTGCTCTTCCCCTACTGCTTGCACTGCTTCGCTGTCGTCGTCATGGCTACCCCTAGTGTCCTAGCTTTTGACGCTGAGGGTCGCGCCATTGATTTTGAGGTCTGGTTAGACGACCTGCAGCTGTTCTTACAGTGCGACAGGGCTGACAGCCTTTCTCTCTTTGACCTCACCTCTGGCGCCTCTCCTGCTCCTGCTGCTGATGCTGATCCCACTGTCCGCTCTCAGTGGGCCACCCGCGATGCTGCTGCACGTCTTGCTGTGCGTCGCCACCTCCCTACCTCTGAGCGTGCGCACTTTAGTCAGTACAAGAGTGCTCAGACCTTGTACGACGCTGTAGTTGCGCGCTACTCCTCCCCTGCCACTGCTGCACTGAGCCGTCTCATGCTTCCCTACCTCTTTCCTGACCTCTCTGCCTTTCCCACTGTCGCTGACCTCATTACGCACCTCCGCACTAGCGACACTCGCTACCGCGCCGCCCTTCCTGCTGAGTTCTGCGCTAAGAACCCACCCCCCATGTACATCGCTCTCTACTACGTAGTTGCGCGCCTCCCTGACTCCCTTCGCGTCGTTAGGGACCACTTTCTCGCAGTCTGTCCCACCACCCTCACCGTCGACCTCCTCGAGAAGGCCCTCCTCGCAGCGGAGAAGAGCATAGTCGCTGTAGGTGCTTCTTGTGGTGACCCTCGCACCCCCATCTTTGAGGGGTGCTCTCCTTCCCCCTTGCTGCCTTTTGTTGCCTCTGCTGCTGCTGCCGACCTGCTTGGTCTTGAGTCGGTCGGCGCGGCGTCTACCCCTAGTGGGAGACGTCGCTCCAGCAAGGGCAAGGGGGGCAAGGGCGCGGGTGGAGCTGGAGGAAACGGTGGCGGTGGCGGCGGTGGCGGCGGAGGGAGTGGGGGTGGCGGCGGGACTAGTGGCGGGGGTGGTGGTGGTGGTGGCAGCA